ATATTTATAAGTAGAATCTTAGATCGAAACACCCCTATCTATGCTGTTGATGAGATCAAAAGAAATCTATTTTAAATATCATTGTACGAGATTATATGTTAAGTGTAAGAAATTAAAGTATTAAAAGTAGAATGGCATTTTTACTGGACAGCTTTTGTCCGTGGCTTTTATCTTAATCCTTATTTACGGAGATGCGGCGCGGTGAGAAGTTCATCTTACATTGCAGTTTCGTAGTGAGTCATCGGTCGCGTAAACACAAACATAGCGGGCAATGTATGACGAACTGTCCGATGAGCCGTGACAGCGTCGGGTCGTCATTGACGTGACCTTAGTCTCCTTCATTATTAGGAAGGCTTGCCTTCATCATAAGAAAAGGATTCATCCATTATAAAACTCAACTTCATAACTTTTGATATTTTCTTGGTTTGTTTTTTAAAAACGTTGCCCCGCACTAGGAATTTATCTTGTTTCGTCGATGCGTTTACAGACACACAATTTTACATACACATCCCATCCAGGTCCGGAATAATAATTTGTAGATCACACAAAGAGTTGTTCTGTGCGGATATCGAACCCGCTATACGTGCAATACCGAATACATACAAGAAGTAAATGTACTTACGTACAATATATTATTAAGTAGAAAATTAGAACCAAACCAGATACCGCATTAAAATAAAAATACAAAAATATAGTTTCAACAATTATTATTTATTTATCGTCGATTTAAAAGAAAAATAAAAAAAAGAAAACAATATTCAGGTAATCAACAATGATTTAATAACATTAACAAATAACAATACTGTGTAACAATACTTAGAAGTAATTTGTTCTAAATCGCACCAGGTAGCTTGGTATAAAGAAGAAGAAAGAAGAGCAGACATTAAAAGAAAGAGAACAGAAATTAAAAGAAAAGAATAGAAAGGAGATAGAATAGTGTAAGTACAGAAAGGTAATAGGATAGGAAAGGAAAGAAAAGAGATAGAATAGTGCAAGAAAGAAGTGAAAATGAAAGATAGCAGAAATAAAAGATTTGGAGAAAAGAAAGAAGCGTATACATAAGGACAGAAGAGTAGTAGGGTAAGAGTCAGAAGAATAAAATAAAGATAAAAGAATAAAGATAAGCATGCAGTAGAGTAAACTAGAGTAGGTATAGAGCAGTATGCAGAAGTGTGTAGATGAAATTATATAAAAAAGTTACAAGTTTGAAAAAGTAAGTTCAGAATAGGTATAAAAACTGAAGTAAATAAGAGAAAAGATAGAATAAGTAAGAATTTAAGATCAAGAGGAAAAGAGCAAGTAAAATAAGTATGTAGCAATAAATGAAGGATAGAAAATGTTGTGAAAAATACAGAATATAGTGATTATTGAAAAAATACAGAGTATAGGAAGAAGATTGAGTGTCGAATAAGTTGAAGGAAGTAATGAAATAATTAAAGATTGCAAAAAGAAACAATAGAAGAATATTTAAGAAAGAAAGTAGTAGTGGAAAGAAGAAATAGAAAAGATAAAACTTAAAGAATAGTGTGAAGTATAAGTAATATTGAGTCGTTGTAAGAAAGCGTAGTTCAGAGGTAAGTGTAAAAAAGATTAATTGTAAGGAAGAGGTATAATAGGAAAGTTTAAAGATGCAGACACAGTGAAAAAAATATTTTTAAAAGAAGTTATAGCTTCTAGTATCTTTAAATGATATGTGTAGATAGAATGAAAAGTGTATAAGGTAGTTCAGATAGAAATAAGGTAAAGATAATAAAAGTAGGTACTAGAAAGAAATGTAAGCAATTTCCATTGGTGCGACGTATATTCAAACTTGTATCAACCGTTTTACTCAAATTGATATTAAGTATCCACCATGCCTAGCTTCCAATAGTGTTTCTTTTGCTCATATTTGCGCAGGTACTTCAAGGCTGCAGTGTACACAGAATATTTGTAGAAACAAAGAGTCTATAATACTCATCTCAAAATTGCAGTCGGTGTGCCAACCTAGGGTCCCCAGGTAGCCTTTTCAGTAGTACAAAAGTATCTACTATTTAGAAGTAAAACTGCTGTCGAAGAAATATCCTTGCAAGTTCATCGCCATATAATTTGCAATGGTTCCACTAGTACTTCGTAATTCGCAGTTACCATCTCCGATACCTGTCTTGTATCTCAGTTTCTACTATTTATCGTAATCCTTCATTCATTCAATCATTTCACCTATTGTGTAAGTAAGATGTTTTGGCTTTATTAATTTAATTCTGTCTCGCTCTCTAAAAAAGTAGACGATAAAGAAGTAGAGTTTGATCAGAAAAGAAGAATAGAGATGGATTGAAGTAAATTGATAGGAAAACATAGAAAAATGAATTAGAAGACAAATATTTTGTTGATAAGAAAGCTACAGCGATATAGTTATCTAAGAATGAAAATGTTTGCGAAATATGAGATAAAGAGAAACGAAGTAAAAAGTAAAGTGTAAGTTGATATTCGTAGTAGATAGATATAGATGTAGTAGTAGGTGTAGGTATAGTATAAGATATGATTGATAAATAAAAAGAAAGAAAATACAGAGCAAGAAATAAGGCAGAAAATAGGTAAAATGTCACTAGAGAAAATAAAGAAGAATTAAAATGGAATAGGTGTGACTACTACTATGGTACCTATCTTTAGTGTCATAGTAGTTTGGTTTTCTTTTCTCTCTATTTTACCAAAAGCAGACAAGATATATAAAAGATATACGCAGTTTTATGAAAGAGAAGAGTATGATTAAAGATGTAGATATGTCATAGGTTTGGAAGTATAGAATAAGATAGTAAAGATTAAATAAAAAAGATAGAAATTTGTAATAGGTAAGCAAGGAATAGTGTAAATGCATGTAGATGTATAGATAGTCATTGTAGGTAAGATAATAGAAATATTTTTATATTCTTTGATACAAGAACAATTTTAAGAATTATATTTTCAAAACATTGCACTCAGGAAGAAAGAGATGAAAAAGTAAACAAAAGAGAAAGACAAAAGAGTACATAAAAAGAAATGAAGCGACAGTGAAATAAATATATTGGACAGAGTTAAAACTTTGAAAATGTAAAAAAGATAAAACTGATGTAAAATATTAATGGTACAGAGTAATCAATTTTATGAATAATATCAAAAAACTTATAGAAGATAGAAATATATACGTAGTAATAGATGTAAATAAAGACATAAAAAAGAAGAAAAGTAATATAAAGAATTAAGAAGAAGAAATAGATAAACATTATAGAAAAAGAAGAGATAGGATAGAATAAAGTATAGTTTGTAATAGGTAGGTATTTTTAAAATGACAGTATAGAATAGAACTATACATATAATATATACTAAGAAAATATAAAAGTTATTAAGACAGAAAGTATTTGATATAAATGAAGAATGAAATAAAAGATATGATACTAAGATATGAATACAAAGTACAAAATAAAATACAAGATAAAAAAGAGAGAAAATTGCAAGTTTATATCAGTAAATCCGATATAAGTATAAGGAAGAGGAAATTGAAATATTCAGTATATCGATAGAATGATAGATCAGAGGAAGTCGAAACAGGCATAGAAGGATAATTCTGAATTTATCTTAAAGAATGCTATGGGCGAGAGGACAGAAACAGATAGAAAAGTAGCAAGTCAACAAATAAAGTACAACAGATTTTTTTGAAATCAGTGGAAAAAATAAGATTCAAAGATGTTGAATAAAAACCGAATAAAAGTAATGAAAATTGAAGAGGTCAAGTTAAGTAATAAGAAGTAGAGAAGTTTAAAGAAGTTTGGAAGTAAGAACAGTTTGAAAGTCAAGGCGAGCAGTATGTATGTAGGTACACATACTGTGTATTGTTGCAAAAGATAAAGAAATTGATGAAAAAGAAAATAGTTTAAGTTTTTAGAAGTTTCAAGAATTGTTTGAATGTAAAGGCGTAGAGTGTGTATGTACGTGTGTATTGTTGCAAAAGAATGAAAAGCATGAAAAGAGTAAATAGTTTTGAGACGAAAATGAGTAATTTGAAAGAAAGACATGTAGATAGTTAAAGTGATGGTTGAATGTTTCAAGTAAAAAAATATCGTTCATGAGTATGGAAAGGTAATGAGCAAACAGAGAATTATGGAATGAAATATGTTTGAAGTCAATGATTTAAGACATGATGATAAATGTAAAGTTGAAGAGATAGTATGATTTTCAAGGATGCAGAGCATAGAAGGCGAGTTTTGAAAGATGAAAAATGAAGATCATGATGACAGTAGTAGAGAAGTTTTCAAAGGTGAAATATGAAGGTAACACTATGTAAGATAAGAATAGAAGTTGAGCGTAAATGAAAGATTAAGTTGATTTCATCCTAATCTGACGAAACTGCTGCATACATAGCATATACCTAATGCATTAACAAAAGCATTCTTCAGGTAAATGCATTCTGATATCGAAATGTGTCTCTATGATAAAGTAATTTCTACCAAGTATTTTTGGCCGAGTATGTAGAAATTCATTTCCTGTGGCATTCAAAATTCATTATACAAATCGTACACAAGGCAGGAAACAGATTGACTAAGCATGCAGAAATGAATACAGCAGATAATTAAATGTATGATGTTGATAGATATGAGTGAGATAACAGCTGTCGCAATGAAGATAGTGATGTATATGAATATAGAAGAAAATAGTTAAATGAGCGTGAAATGAAACGAAGAAGAATATAATATTTGTAACATTTATATTTGTAAAATAGTTATAAAAGCGATACAGTAGTTGCATTAACAGATATAAAGAAAAGAAGAAATGAAAAATTAAAATCAGTAATGGTGTAAGAATAAGAAATTAGGATGAAAATAATTTGAGCATTTGAGCACAACAATTCGTGAAAGAAAGCGTGAACAAGCAAGCATAACAGTGAAGTGCAAGAAAAGAAAGAAGAGAGAAGGAAGAGGTAAAGAAGATAAGGCAAGATCTAAGAAGAAAATCTACCTAAGCTTCGTACGTATCACAGTGTACTTTGTAAACTTAAACTCTAATAAAAAGGAACTAACGTTGAAAGTGCATTAATAACGTGTCAGCGGAATGAACCGTTTGTAACAAATGTGCGGTTATTCAGCTACGAACCTAAACCTAATGATATCACTTGAAATAATACTGTCTTTGGTCTTGTTTGAGTAACAAGTGCTTGGCAAGATAATTGCAACTTTAAGCCTTATTTTGGTACAAATTGTGAGCGAGACGTTAGACATTTTGCTATTAAAATCCTAATCATGAACAAAGTCTACTAGTTTTTGTAATGTTTTTGTAATATTCAAGTCTTTGTTAGGATTTATTCGTTTCGCTCCTCGTTTTACCTACTTCCTGTAGCTAGAATCTTGATGGTTGTTCACTGGATAATCAGCGTACCACCCGAAAGACCCGTGGTCTCCGGTGTGAGCCCCGAAATCCACATACTCCCCGAAGTCAGGCGGTCTTTCTGCGAATTGAGAGGCAGCTCCGAAGGTGGTCGATCCAAGCGAATCTTGTGGTTGCTGCTGCTGCTGCTGCTGCTGTTGCTGCTGTGGTTGCTGCAATCTGACGAGTCTGGCAGGAGCCTCATTCTCTTGAATTTGAACTGGTACTGGAACCGGTGTCAGGCCTGCTGTAACAATTAAAAATTGTACTTGGACACAAGAAGAAGAAGAAGTAATTAGATAGATAGATATAGCCCTAAAAGAGCAATGATATATTCTAAGACGTAATTCACAGTTGTGTTGATTGCGAAACAAATGAAAAGGAAAAAAAACAAAAAAAAAATATCATATCATAAACTTGATCACAAGAATTTATCTAGTTATAAGAAAAGAAGCCGAGACTTTTTAACGTGATCTAGATTTGCAAGTTAATGAGCAAATTCTCACGGCCAACGCTAATTTAAGCGTTTCAAAACTCGAACTGGAGGAAATGTGCACTCGCATGCATAATACAGTTTACGAAATAGATGGTAATAGTTTTTTAGTATGCACAAACCGGCGCAATCATCGGATTAAGCGTGCGTGACCGAACTTAATTTGAGCAACGCCAACATTCGCGTACCGAAGCACGGATAGCTCGGAATAGCTGCAAGTATTGCAACATTACTGACGTACCGAGGTACTTAAGTATTCAAATGATTTAAAACAAACCTACGCTCCGAGAAAACGACCACATAATCGCTATCGAAAGTGAGAAAAATACATAATCAAAATATCATTTTGACTCACGAAAAGAAACTTTTAGCAAAATCATTGATGTTATATGTTTCTAGCACTGTATGTTCTGTTTGCTTGTCATTCTTAAGTGCTTGGTCTCGCTCAGTGAATGGATCCGATCTCATTGAATGTAAAACAAGTAATGTAAGTACCAAGTTGCATAGAAAGCAGTTTATCCTTTGTTCTCAAGTGAAAGTGATGGCTGGCTAAGCTTGATTGATGGGCGTATGAATCGAAATTACAGATCTATTTTATTACAGACAATGATTCGACAAATACGACATGCTGATTGATCATATTGAAGAGAAAGAAGATACTCGATCGTAAGGAAATTTGTGGAGTTAATCTAAACAACTTCAAATACTAGCAAGAACGGAATGTGCAAATTTGAACCACATAGTGGTATTACGTAGATGAAAACAATGGTTGAAATACCAAACAATTAAATAATCAACCATCATTTAAAAGCATTTAGGCTTACCTAACGCTAATGGCAATCTCACGCCTACGAAAAAAGTTTCTTTTAAAATTACTTACGACACAAAATAAGCGACAAATGTCAATCGTGAATAACACGTTTCCTTCCTGCGTTCAATCACTGTGATTTCTCTTGACCAATAAAACCTTAGCTGGTCTAATTACTGCAGATATTAAATTTCCTCAGAAAAGACGATAAAATCGGCTTAATGGCTTAGTGATAATGATCAGGCTACGAGTACTCTCCTGTTGTTCGAACAGATTACGTAAGCAAGAGAATTACATGAAGAGAAAAGGTACTATGTGATACAAAAAAAATATGGATAAAAAAGATAAAAAAATGAAATGTAATGAAAGGTAAAAAAAGGAGAAACGGATCCTAAGTAAGTGTAAGAGAGCCATGCTTCGGCACGAACGATAAGTCACACATTTCCCCAAAGCCCTGATCCAAAAAAGGTCGGCAACGCACTCGTAACTTCTCCATTGTTGCGCTTTTTTTTTCTAAGCCATGGATCGCCAAACAGCTCACGATAGTTACTCCATCCGCAATAAGTGACTTAGGTTAAGCGAGCAATGAAAATAAAGAAGTATTCACTTACGCTGCTGCTGATACTGCTGCAGTGTGGTAGGGTACTCCTGCTCATAGAACGCTTGCGGGAGCTGTGGTAGTGGTAGCTGGGGAGGCGGTGGTGGTGGCGACAATGTCTGTCGTGGTACGCGACGCACGTGCAACGCCGACAGATCAACAAACGCGATCTGATCTGCAGGCACCGCGATGTAGGATGGCATCGCCGTCGTAACAGCGGCCAAAGCAGCCAGTATTAGCGCGTGCTGTAAAGAAAAATAACGTTAAAATTCGAATTAAAAAATAAAAAAGTAATATGAGTAAGTTTAGTCCGTATTTTAACTATGGGTAAACGAAGCATATATCAGTAAAGTAACTATTAAATCCAAATAACTCAATAATGACGCCATTTTCCGTGAATTTCTACAAATGTTGTAGATCTATTTTATTTACCGGTGAAAAGTTTATTTTTAAACTTCGAAGTGGCAGACGTGGCAGTTGATGAAAGGCGTTAGCTCTTAACGATTTAGTAGAGAAGATGTTGTTTATTTTGTTTCTTTAAAAAAAAACAAATATGTGGGTCGGTTTGTCAGTGTCTTTCAACGTAAATATATATTTAGACTGGTTCCTAGTAAATGATTTACGAAACTGCTTCAAATATTGTGTTGTGCAAGGTACGAGTATCTATGAGAAATACGAGTATCTTGCTTTATTCCTTCAGGTGATAAGTTCAGTAATATAAAGTGCCGGACTAAAAGGACCAGATTAGCTACAAACTTGGTCCTTCGAGACGATAAAGTTTTATACTTTAGCTATCATTGTCATAACTCGTTCATTATCAAAATAATGTTAATGCCATTATGCTTTAACTAAAAACGGATTCTAAATATCTACACTATCTCTGAATTACTAATAATTTAAAATCACAATTATTTTTGCCCTTCATATACTTATTAAATAAATACTATGTATACTATACAGTTAGAATATTTAAGTAAATTATGATTCAAAATGCAATTAAAATTTAAATACATTTCAAATTATAATATAGCCCAATGACCATTTGAATTTAAACACTACAACTTGTATAAGATCTAAACGTCTCTATCTTGTAGGAGCCCATTTCATAAACAACAACCGACAATATTATTCACAGACTTAACCGCCATAATGTAAGGAAAGAGAAATTATAATGTAGTTAGTAACACTACGTAACAAAACCACTATGTCGTTGAAGTTAGGTAATGTTTGTCACTGCGAATTAGGTATGGTTTAGAAGCCACTGTGTACCCTGCTCACGAAGTAGTGTATTTGACTTTCTCTTTGCGGTTATCTATGAAAGTCAATGACAGTTACGATTGCATATGTGTACATATACATCTGTTAAACGGAATTCAAAAGAGTATTAAGGAAAAATTGCTAGACATAGACCTGCCTGTATTGTGGATTAAAATTAAAGTCTAACTTCATAACTCCGTATACCTGATTCAATGTCAGTTGTACCTTGTAATAAAGAATTCAAGCTGCCAGCTTTTTACCCAATAAAATCGTAAACTGTGTTTAAGCAATCGAAATTACAAATCCTTATTTGGTATCATCATTCAATTTGCTACCATAAAAGGCTCGCCAACCATCTAAAGATATCCGCCACGATCACGATATGTTACAAATATGTTACTTTACCTACTTATATTGCCTCACAGTGACACGGCGTGCAATAAGGGAATTGCCAGTAAGTTAACGTTTAGCGGCGCTTGCGCAACGGTAGTAATTGGAGCCCGCCCGAGTTGCGCAACGAGAGACATGCGCGCTGGACCGCAGAGTTCATTGTTTTACAAGAAAGCTTTCAGTGTCGAAACGTAAAACAATTAATGAGAAAAAGATTATATCGAAAAGTTTTTACGAGTCTTATAATTGGCTGATTGGACCTGGGAAACCGTTGGCGAAATCATAGAAAAATTCGCATGAATCTGTATAAAACACATTTTGTTATACACTCTTATGTATACACTTTCTTATCATCGACTAAATTTACTTCTGACATGCCTTACAAGTTATGACACATATAATAATCTCTAAGAATTTTAATATTAAGACAGAAAGGCAACAAGGCACCTCTACAAAATTACAAGATTGCAACAATCGCTAGCCCATTGGCCCAAAGACTACGAGATACATTCTTACCTACCAAGCGTGTAAAATTGATGATTGCTATTGGAAAACAAATGACTACTTTGCATTGACAAACCGTGGCACGTAGGATTATCGTTAACCTAGTTTGCAGATGCTAAAGGTCTATTAGTCACATTGTAAGGCATTCTGTAAGGTGTCATAACGTTTACTTGACGTTATCCAATACAAGACACTATAAGTACAAAATCCGAGCCAATAATCCATCATAGATTCGTGAATGACTCACAGTTCGTAAATCCTACTCAAATCAACCACAAACAGTCATTTATAGATTAATGTACCTCAACTGTGAATTATGGTAATTGCGTAATACCTATTAAGCTCTGTGTAGGCTGTTAGTGGGTGTAAGTTGTCAATTAAATTAAATAGTAGTTACCACAGTAAGTGGAAATATAAGCCCACTCTGACTTTCCATTTGGACCTTGATATTGCCTTATATAGATCTGACCTCAGCGACCACGACAAAATACTTTCAATGGCCAGTTTAAGTCAATTGAAATGTCACCACGACAGCCGTATGTAAATTCGGAATTTTATCACCTTTATAAAACGCTGTAGCTCTTGCCTCTTAGTTTGCGCTTAAGGTAAGGAATGTAATTAACAGTGAAAGTCCTTCCGCAATCATCCTGAGAGCTTGTGCTTACGCATGTGATTAATTTCATCAGCAACAAAGATTAATGTAAGTTTTAGTTAGAAATTGACATTATAATTTACTTGAGATTATAGGAAATAATCAGCATTACACCTTTGCTTTCTGATTGTAAGATATAAGAATTAAGAAATATCTTTCAGTTGGTAGACGGATTTATTTACCAGAAACAAAAGAATCGTTGAAAATGTGTATTTTTAATTTAACAATGTGTTATGATTTTCACAGGTCTCAAGGCAATTAAGTACCTAGTTTATAATGAGTAGGCGCCATTTTGACACCTAAACGACAAACAATGCAACAGTTACCAAATGCATGAGAATCTTCACATGTTTTGTTGTTAAAAAATTTCACACATTGTACTAAGTCGTAACAATGCTTGGCTGAATTTTTGAATGCGCAACAATCTGTAGGACAAGGCTGAACGTTGTTTTGCTTAATGTTCTAGTATCCAATTATTTTTATTTTTTTATGGCTTTATTTTTTATTTCTTTGTTCTATTTTATTACGCCCTAAATTCATAAGGTTTGATCTTTTTCGGTTCTATAGTAATTACATATGTAAGTATTTAAAAATTTACAACAAGGACCACATTTCGCTCGAAGGACCAAATTATTTTACATCAATTTGGTCCTCTCTTCTAAAGTTACCATCAATTTATTTTAATACCTGAATCCAAAACCACAAGACAACTGAAGTACTTAGTAACATAAAGGTCTAACCATTCATTATAAATTATAATAATGCATCTTTATAATCTTTATAAGTAAATTGATATTGCGTAGCCGCTGTCTGCCCTGTTTAACAAAACTGTTATCATTGAGTTCATCTGGCGTTCTCGACAATGATATTTCAAAACAGTGATGTTATCAGTCCGAGAATAAATTCTTTTCACTTTCAACTGTCCGTATGTATGTATGCGCGTAAAGAAATGTCAAATATTTGGATTGTCAGGCATTTTATTTGTTCCTACTTGTTTAAGAGTGAACCTGCGTTTGCTTATTTGTCGTTGTCTGTTTGATGTATGCAGGTATTTTTTCCATGAATTTTTTTCATAACGTATATGTACCTATAATTCATTTAGTAGATTGAGGATTTAGGGGAGTCATTGCTAACTTGATTTTGACTGCCTAATAGATATCAACTCTATCGAACTTGTTTTACAGTAGCGCGATTTCTTATCTATATATAACTTTTAATATTTAATTCTTGCAGGAAGTTTCCGTTCTGTCTTATATTACCACGCCTCGTGTCTGCGGTATTCACGATTTACTTTCAAATACTCAGTGCGACGGACAGCGAAATTGCGTTACGTAAGACCAAAACGTTTTCATGCTTCATTCGTTGTCAAAATGCCGTAAAGTTTTTGTGAATTTTGTTTGAATTTTAATTACTTTTAAAAACTTATTATGTAAGTATGTAACTCAAAGTGTGTTTCTGTTTTATGAAGTAATGGTAACCAGTTAATGGACTTGTAGGCTGGTAGGTCATTTATAAAATTTGTGTAACTAAGCCGTTTGGATCTAAGTATTATTTAAACATGTTTCTAGTCATAAGTTCTAGAAACGACGTCGATAAATATTTATTACGAATTTCCGCGATTGTTTTGGATATAATCGTAGTCTGTTTCTCGATCTAAATGTACCTTAAATAATCTGTAAGTCATTCAGGAGCAATTAGATTTAGAGTCAATCAAATTGAAATTGAAGTAGTTCTTTCAATCGTGTTCATTTCAAAGTCAAGCTAATGAGCCTAATAACAGCTGTTGCGTCCGAATTACAATTAGAAAGTAGAGTAAATACGATTTCATGGCTTTATGAACCAGCCAGTATCAATTACACAACCGTTTTACACCGATACGATTACAATCGATTAAAAGAAAATCGACTTTTTACTTTCTTTCGGACTCTATAGTTAATCGATTTTTTCGTTTTATTTCCAACCTCTATTATTGTCCAGTTTAATGGTTTGTACAATAATCATATTTATTTATGTCGGAAATATTGTGTACTTTTGTTTTTACGACATGGGAAAGTAACAACAACAAGTTTCGAAAGTGACAATATTGCTCTTTCTTAAAGATTTCCATGTCCTTTATGAATTACCTACTCAATAGTTTGTTATAGGTACTTAATAACGGAAAAATATATTTGTTTGTAACGTTTTTCTAAAACAACCAGTTCAATTACCGTTAAGACAATTTTGGTCCTTTGGTTCACGTTAATGACAGATATTTTTAATAGGTACCTACGTATTTTATGATTTGTTTCTATTCAAATAATTTATAGGCGACAATAACCATCAATTTATATGCAAAGTTAAACTATATACCTAAGTACCCAGCTAATTATTATTTATACATAATAAAGTAAGATTTTATTCGTGTTCCGCCTGACTAACTGCCCCACCCTGATTGCCTTCGATATTTCCGCGGGTGAAAGGTTTCTCAATGTCATTTCATGTACTTTTTGCTTTGTATTTCAAATAACAGATTACGACCGTTTCCACTGTCAGCATAACAAGTTTGCCGTATCAAGGTTGTGTAAGAAAAAGTTTAACGATATGAGTTGCAACTTTTTTTAAAGTGTATTGTTTTTTTTCGTTGGTGTAGTTTTATAAGTAGGTAGGTATATAATCTGTCTATAAATAAGTTAAGTTCCGTATTCGCCATTTAGTGACCTATAAAAGTGTTGTCTGACATATTTTATATAGTTATAGTTATACTAGCTTCCTGGTCTCGATTTTTTCTGCAAAGCCTTCATTTAAAGACTTAAACATTCTTGTTGAATCATTAAATACATATATTAAGAAAAATGCATCATAATCTGTCACGTAATTTCAAAGATCTAAGCATACATAGGGACATGCAGCGGGAAGCGATTTTGTTTGATCTTTGTAGTTATACCTAATATACCTAACTATTAGTTATGTGTGTTAAATTACAAAGCTATAAAATTGTTTTGTAAGGCTACAATTTAAACACACGGTCTTAAAATTTTATTGTTTCATTGTATTACTAAACAGTATTGACTTTTATGAGACTTACGTACTCGGTAATAAATGAGTAATTTAAGTATGTAATTGTGATTTTATTAGTTTTAAGTAGGTAGGTAACAAACGTAGGTCATAGTTATTATGTACAATGAATTGAATAATGGTATTTTATAAATGATTAAAACTGATCTTACTTAAGAAAAGTTACTTTCATGTTTGATTTGAAAGTGTTTATGAAAATCCGTATCTAAAGAAACAACTAAATAGATTTTAATAAAACTTAGTACACATACTAAATATAATATTTCTTATAGAGTGAACTCTATTACTTACCTACCCAAATAAGTAGAACTTTGAAAAAGGTGATTTTGGTCCAATATCATATTCTTTACTTAAAGAGTTTCTGGCGATTTTAAAATAATACAAAATTGCGCAAATTAATTTACTTAACTTTTAAGGACTATTTAACAAGTGCTCGTATAAGCACATATAAAAGATTAAGTATTTAAAAATACCAACAATTCAAAGTACGAACATCGTAGTTGATTTCGTAAACGAAGTACCTGGGTGATTCTTCACATCAATTAAAAAAAAATTAATAATGTCATTATCCTCAACCGAAAATTAACGAGTCTGCTGATAAAAACACAGATAATTATTTTATTAAATTAAATCTCACCACTGCTTACAAGCAACCGATTAAAAATATTGTATAAAATAAATTACTAAGATGCTTAAAAACCTGGGAGGATAATGACTTGTTAAATAAAAGTTAAGGTTTTTTGGAGAATCACCCACCTAAACTTATTCAGTTGTGTAAACTTTTAAGTTAAATGAGAACAGTATTCCTTCAACATTTCGGTCGGTTAACGCTCTATTAACTTTATGATAAGCGTCTGTACTGTACTGTAATAATATGTAATTTTGGTCAGGATTAAAACTTTGCGGATCTTCTGTATTAATATATTCTAAAAATAGTATTGCTAAATGCCATAATATATTTCTTTTGTCAATAAAAATATGCTAAATATGAAGCCGGTATAAAAAATAAATACTACCGTAATACGTTGTATAATAGTATAAATAAAATAAATAAATAATGAATAAAATACTTTCACTAAAACACTAAAATTATATACACTATATTAACACTACATATAATTAAAACACTATATTACTATAATAGATATTACGTCTTAAAAATTATAATAAAAACAAACACAACGAAACAAATCGAAAGTAAATTGAAACTGACCATTTTTATCCAGAGATGGCGTGATTGACGCGGCACGATGCGTGCGCCTCGACTGAGCTCGCTACCGTCGTTGCTACAATTTATAAAGTATCTGTACGGAGCGGTTTCACTTTCTACTCGGGTCCGGTCGAACATGATCCACTTTTTTACGGCCGCCATAATTCGTATGCCTTGCATGGTAAACAAAGAACTGTTTCACCCCCGGGAGAAAAGACCCAAACCACATGTTGTGGTCCTTAGAGCCGCTTACCGTATGACGTGATATGTTCACGATATGAGTAATAAACTTGTGTCAGTAACATACGAAGCGAACTTGACACAACATACGGTGAGTTAATAAAATATGAATATCTTGGATAAACTTGGACCTTTAACGGGTGCCAGCGATTCGTGGCCCTGCTCTCTGCACAGTTGTTTCACTGGTTTGAAACTTACAAACCAAGTTTCGAACGAGTCAAGGGAGAAATAACTTACAAGTTACCTGCTTGCAACATCTGTAAGCCTCAGGTATTCAGTTTACTAGAAAATTACGCTCGAGGAGAGTATACCGACAAATAAGGGCAAATATCAAAATATCTCTTTTAATGTCGAGCACAATCTTACATTGCAACATAGCTATTCTTGCAACAGTTGATTTGAGTTCCTTTATTACCCAAAATACCAGTCAGTGTAATACACAATATGTTGATCCTTCGAAGAAATCAGCACATGTAAAATATATAGGGAACTAGCTTTTGTCCACGACTCCGTTTGCGTGGAATAGTGACTTCCTGTAGATTTTGGTATAGAAGCCTGCTATCCAAGAATGGATATACCATTCTCGAGTTGCAAACTATGCCTGTACCTAATTTCACTGAAATCTAGTAGTTTCGGGCGTGAAGTACTTAAAGACAGACAGAGTTACTTGCGCATTTAAAATATAGTTTGGATTTGGATAGACTACTACTTACTATTAATCTATACATATATTATAAAGTGGTTAAATTTGTTGGATTTTCAATATTCTTTCCCTGATAGATAGCTACAATGTTCCTGAGTACTTAGTACTTAGGCTACATTTTTAATTTTTTTTTATTGTGCGGGATGTAATTTTCCCTTAACGTGGGCTGCGTGAAACAGCTAGTAGGGGATAGACACTTCATGACTGAAAAGTCTCCCAAATCCTTGATGATGGATGAGAGGAGACGTTGGATGAGCTTATTTGCAGCAGATGAATGTCTTGTATTAGACTGAATCAGTATATCTGATCAAATAATATTGTTAATTTCAAGATCCTTCGCCTTATTTAAGTATTCTGGTGACTCATGACCACTAACCAATGAACATATTAGGTATGAGAGCTCGTTCAGTGTCTAGGTCACTCATACGATAAGCTGTACGCATTTTATACGAATCTTCAATGTCCTTTTTATTTGCTTTAAAATTAAGATGTGAAACTCTAAATACTCTGAAGGTGTTTTACATTAGATCTTTTTGATGGTCTTTACTAAATATTATGTCAAGTTATTCATTCAAGGAATCCTATGATTATTGTACTGTAAAGGTATCAGGTACTTAGAAGATTGAAGATATTAAGAGAGAGCCTTTTAGCAGGTTAGGTTACTGATATATGAAAGAATTTCACTGGGTCAGGTGAAATGGAATGCTACAAATGAAACAGCACAATTTAGAGAAAGGGTTTATTTATTTTATGTCGTGGTAGCCCGGAGGTTAAGTCGCTCGACTCTCATGCATGAGAAGGCGGATTCGAAACCTAGCAAGTACCAGTGTCACTTTTTCAAAGTTATATGTACTTTCTTAGATTATTAAGACACCACTGTCAAACGGTGAAGGAAACCTGGACTATTATATTCTAATTATAAATTTGAAATCGTCAATCCACCTTGAGGAAGCGTGGTTATTAATGGTCAAACCTACTTCGTGTTTTTTTTTATGTGATAGGACGGTAAACGAGCTGACGGATTACCTGATGGTAAGCAATCAGCGTCGCCTATGGACACCCACAACAAAGAAGGAGTGTGTTGCGGACCTTTTAAGGCTTGGGATTTTGGAGATTTAGGGATTGGGAAGGGATTGGGCCTCCGGTAACCTTACTCACACGGCGAAACACAACGTTGTGGTTGTTACACGCCGGTTTTCTGTGAGGCCGTGGTATAACTCAGGTCGAGCCGACCCATTCGCGCCGAAGCATGGCTCTCCCACACATATAATGTGTGATTATAGGCTGATCATGTGATAATGTATTGATTATATAAAAATTTTTTTCAAGATACAAAGTCTAAACTTCCTTCCCAGATGTACCTGGTAAACGTTATCAGGATTAGTTACTCGGTACGATGCAACGTGGTCGACTTAGATAAGGACGATATACATACATATAATTATGGAGTCCACAATTTCACAAGAGCTGACCCGTATACTGACATGACTATGTTCTTATCTGAAGACCTTCTAAGCTTAAGATAAAAAACACAATTTTCGTAAGCTCATGTTTGGACTCGAATTTTTACCGTTTGCCTAGTTCGTACTGCGTTTAACATTCAACGTTGGTTCTTCCTATATTATGTTCAAAAAGCACCAAGATTCCTGCTTGTATTAAAATCTACTCTCAAATAACGTAGTCATAGTAAAATGAATTGTGCTTAGTAAATAACTGAAAACTGTCTGAAATAGATATGTATCTACTAATTAATTGGTTGTTCTCTGTAGAATATTTCGACATTACAAAACCTTTGTACAATCGAGGTCATTATAGGTTATCTAAACTAAGCCTGCGCGAACCTGCGTGTACGCATTAGAAAATCGTTAGGTAATTACGAAATTTCTCCGGACGATTTCCACGTTGAACTGTGAATGAAAGAGTATTATCGTGTTAAATCAACTTAGCTGAGGTGGTGTTGCCTGTGAGTTCGCAAGCACCAAGACCATTTTTGTTGTATGGGGAAAAACAAAAGGCAACAAACCTGGGTTGTTTGTTTCATTGAGGAAAACAATTATATGTTCTATTCGCCTTGGTTGCGGCGATAGGGCATGTCAAATCTATACTAATATTATAAAGAGGTAAAATTTGTAAGTTTGTATTGTATGTAGGGGGTAATATTTAAAACCGCTGGTCGGATTTCCAAAATTCTTTCACTGATAGATAGCTACAATATCCTGAATGCTATAGGCTATAAAACACCACGCTACGATCTATAGGAGCTAAGCAGCGGGTGAAACCGCGCGAGAGTAGCTAGTACTTACATAAAACAACCCTGCTCTGGGCCGGGACCACGGTACATACTTGCTCTGGAACAAAGGAACAAACAAACCTGGCTGGACTAGCCTTGTCCCTGTGCCTGACTAGCCTTGTGCAAGGCTCACATCACTGATAGTTTCTCTGATACTATGAGCATGAAGGCTCCGGTTCGTGTAGACTAATAAAAGTGAATGATCCAAATCGCGATACGTTGCGCAGCCGTCAGTTGCCCAGTCACTGCGCTAATCAAATCAATATTACAAAGTATTGCGTTCCAAAAGACCAAAAATCTTGGTCCTTATGGAAACAACCGTGTCTGTTCACAATGTTCACACGCTGGAATTAGATGCGCTAAGAGAAAACTTTACTTATTTGCATGAGAAAGAACTTTACAGTTTTATGTGAAACAGAAACCTAGCTCGTGCTAAATGTATGTCAGTTAATGTATGAGAATATTTTTCTACAAATTTCGTTTTTGCACTCTTGTCTTAAATAAGTACATGACTTTTAGTGTAGGTACAGTCTATGGGGCATGTATTTTTTTCGGGTGCGCCACATTTTTTTTTATTTGTAGGTACCTATCTGAATATTACAAACGATTTGTTGTTTAATATTTTTACTTATCTAATGAATGATTGATATATCAACCTATATCAATCATTCCGGTAAAATAAATCAGTGGAAAAAATATTTTATTAGGGTAAATAGGTACCCTACACATAAGGATAGATATCGTAGGGATTTTGTGTCAATTTAACCCTAATGTTTGTATATTTTTGCATAGGTATATAAAAATGAATACAGATTTACTTGATATGATATTTTTTTAATAATATAATATTTCTAAAATGAACACTCCAAAGGTTAAAAATGCGTCTCCCAACCTCTTTAACTTTTGAACCATAAGTTTAGAAAAAAAATATGCTTCACTTGTATCAAACTACCTACTTCCATAATATAAGTGATCTAATTTACTCAGTTTTATTTGTAGGGGCATTCGTTTTTTATATGTCTGACTTTTTATATACTTACTTAGGTACTGGTATTTAACATTTAAGTAACCTTAAACACAGCTAAAACTATATCTATATCTATCTAGGTATATAAAAATGAATCATAAAATATGTTAGTTTCTTACCAACATACCTAATTATTTTGTGATTCATTTTTGGTAAGCGCGTAACTCAACCAAGCCTAATGCACCTATTAGTTAGGAGAAGATTTTTCGATAGAATTTTTATATGTGATAATTCGGCAAACGAGCAGACGGATTACCTAATGGCAAGACGACCCAATCCAAAGGCACTCGTAATAATAAAGGAGTTAGGTACTCCAAGTGCGCAGCCAGACTCTTGCTGGCTATTAGGGATTTAAGGATAGGCGATTTGAAGATTGAGGATGGGGGGAAAAAGATGGAGGGGGACGGATTGGGCCTCCAGTAACCTCACTCTTCGGGGAAACACAACGTTAGGGTTTCTTCACGCAGGTTTTCTGTGAAGCCTGGTATCACACCGGTCGAGCCGACACATTCGTGCTAAAGTAATAGCTCTCCCGCAAATATAGGTATAATGAGAAAGCAACCGGGAAAATAGTAAGATACCTACCTATAAGATGCAGGAATGGGCCGCTACTTATGTAGATTAGGTATAGATAACCAGCGTCAATTAATTCACAAGAATTTTATAAATTACGTTGTCATATCAACTTCCCTTATGAGAATGTCAACTCACAAGGACAACTACTTAGACAGCAAGAATGTGTATTGGACCACATTTTAAACTTTATTATTGCATAGAATTAATTCTGTTTTACCTAATGAACTATA